GCAACCACATGCCTCCTGAATCCCATTACATTGGCCTCTTTTCTGGTCTCAGTCAATGACAACTATTGCCATTACAGGAAGCAATGGTGGCTTAGTGATTAGGAGTTATACTGCCAACCTAAAGACACCTGGTCGAAATCCACTAGCTGCTTCAGAGGAGAAAGGTGAGCAATCTCCTTTTTTGTGCAATGTGCTGCATCTGAAAACCTACTGGCATGTCAGCCAGGAGTCAGTTCCAACTTAATGGTACATAACAACAACTACATTGCCATTAGGGCGTGGTGGTTAAGAACACAGCCCACAGTATGCTTTCTGTAGCCTTGGTGCAAGTCACTTACCCCCTAGGGTTTGGCATGCCTCATCTGTAATGGAGGAGTACTGAGAGTACCTGCTTCCTGGTATGCCAATGTTCACTGCAGTGTTATCACACACAAAAAATACAAACAATCCTACTGACCATCACCAGATGAACCAATCAACAAAATGTGTTCTGGGCAAACTGTGGGATATGATTTAGTCATAAAGAAAAATGAGGTTCTGATGCAGACCATGATTTGGACCAACACTGAAAAAATACACGCCAAGTGAAGTCAGTCGTTCTAAAACATAGAGCCTTTCACTCTGGAATTCCACTTCTGAACTTAATCTTATATAATTAAATATCTATAAAGATACATGCGTATAAAAAAAGGATGTCTTAATAAACTGCTTTGTTGACCAATAAAAAAAAAAAGGACAAACATTTTTCACATCTGTGAAAAATGTCTCAAATAGGAAAATGCATACAGACAGAAGTTTATTAGGGGTAACCCAAAGTGGAGCAATGGGGAGAATAAAAAGTTACTATTTCAGGGACTCTGAGCCTGTTTTGGGTGATGAAAAGCATCTGAATGTGAACAGTGGTGATGACTGCACCACACCATGAATGTAATTAGGGTAATGCATTTTACACTTAAAAAATGGTCAAAATGGTCAATTTTGTCACAGTGATTTTATTATAAGCAATATTGTGATAAACAGAGAAAAGACTGAAGTTGTCAGTCTTTTTCACTTGGATCCATAATTAATACAGAAGTAGCAATTGGAAAATTAAATGACGTATTCCCTTGAG